GTTTGGTGGGATGGGGATGCGAACCCGCGACCCGCAGATTGCGAGTCGAGTGCCTTAACCACCTGGCCATGCAGGGCCTCAGAGAATGTACCTGGATTCCAACAGGTCCTTCAGTCTGTAAAGGTGTTTTACTGGAGACAGCGCAATGGGTCACCAAGAAAATCTATTTTTAAAAGCCAGGAAGTGCTACCCAGAGAAGCAAGCAGAAGCACAACTCTGATTCTGATTTTTCCCATGATAGTTCATAGAATGGGTAGTCTGGATCTGACTGGAAAAAAAACATCTATAAATCTCATGAGTAGAGCTCCAGTAGTCTTGCAGAACAACCCATCTTACAGTGGGCACTGATTGGGCCAGTGCAAATGGTCTAAACACTTTTCATTATCCTTACCTGATGTGGAATTTTCAATAAGTATACCCTGTGAGGCAACACTAGCCACCTAGTGGAATCCAAAAGTAGAAGAACAGTGAAGAAGAAATAAGTAAATAAATACTCACACCCCTTGCAGGTGCAGGGTTAATTGGAGAATGGCTGCTGGTGGAAGTTTCTATGTTATTGGAGACAAGAAAACCAGATGATGGAGACAGTTGAATGTGAGAAAAATGATTATTGTTGGGCAGTTCACTTTCCAGCCTGGAGAAGGGGGGGAGAAAGCTGAAGAGAGGAGACTTGAGAGAGAGTGTACAAACTTCTGCTGTCTGACAAGCATATACAAGAAGTACGAGCTGGAGGAGAAAGGCCCCACATAGAAGAGGTGTCCCAGTTTTGAAAGGACAGTGAGAGGAACCACAAGGAGGAAAAGTGTGACAAAAATACTGAGTATCCCAGACAGGACAAAGGAGAAGGGAAAAGTGGTAGTGAGAAAGCGGGAGGAAACATGGGCATAGATATATGTACAACAGCTATCAATGGCAAGTAGTAATAGGACTCTTGTCCAGGGAGGGCAGAAATGTGCTAGAAGTTTGATAGGGAGCCAAGTAAAAGCATGAAGAACCACAATGTTACTCCAATCAGACAAGAAGTAGGAAGGGAGGCAGTGAATGAGGAAGGAATGAAAAAGAGTAGAAATGGGCAGAAAAGAAGGTGAAGGAAATGCGACCCAACAATCTGAGATACAAGAGACTTACAGATCACAGGAGAACCATCCAGTGAAGCAGGAGGAATGTGTTACAGTGTGGGAATGGTGACAACATGACCAGAGTGATAAGTATGTTGGAACACAGAAGAAGTAGGAGGACAACAGGAATGGGAAAAGGGGACAGCTACATGATCAGGGAGGTGGACTGGACAATAATAAAGGGAGGTCATATCCTGAGGAATGAGCAATGTGCGAAGGTGGACTAGAAGCAATGGAAAGTTGGGAAGGGGAAGACAGGACTGAGACTAGAGGAGGCAAATAAATAGAAACAAGATTGGGATAGACAGCGAGGGGCCACCAAATGGACTCCTTAAGAGGTGTCCTGAAACTGAGCAAGGACCTGAGGGAGAAGAAGGAATGGAGGACATGCATAATAAAAAAAGATGGAACAGACCAGACTGAATACATAGATAGCCAGGGCTAAGGAATGAGGCACAGGAAACAAAATAGAAGAAGTTGGCAGAGAGAGACAAATGTAGCAAGGCAACAAAAGGAGCAGAAACATTGAGAAAACAGAAAAATAGAAGACCAGTGGATGAGGTACCAATCCATGGGTAGGAAACAGTCATATCAAGAAGACAGCCCACAAAGATGTGCAGTGCCTCCAGTACTGCTATACATATATGTAAAGAAGCCAGAAGACTAAACATTATCTACTTGGAGTGCATTATTACAGAGTAATTAGCCATATCTAAACACTGACAATGGGTAACAATGTACGGAGCAAACAATTATACCTAAACCCTATCTTATGATGGTACATGAAGTAGTAATTAACCAGATATAATAATTATAGTCTAAGTGGACCAATGAAGAAGTAAAGAACAAGCACAAACATTACCTACAATGTGTATATGTGAAAAAATAATGAACAATAACAAATTATTACTGTCGATGTATGACGTGATGGATAAAGGATTATGTCTAAACCTAACTTCCAATGGTATGTAATGAAGTAAATAATCAGATCAAATATTTATAGACTATGTGGACATGTTAAAGAGCAATGAATAAAGATGAAACATTATCCACTACATGTAAATGCTGAAAGTAATGAACTATATCAAAACAGTATTGTCGAGTAGTAATGGAAGAGAACTAAACATTACCATCTGTGGGTATACATTATGCAGTAAAAGACTATGACAAAACATTAATATCTAAGCATACATGTTAAGACTAAGCAACTATTTCTAAACATCAACTGTTGTGTATACAGAAAGGATCAATGAACCATGACCAAACACAACAGTCTAAGTCGGACAAGGTAAGAAGGAATTAACTGTCTAAACATTGTCTCCTATGTGTACATGCAATGGAGTAATGAGCTATGTCAAAACATTCACCCGAATGAATTACATGTTAAGGAGTAATGAACAATTTCCAAACAATATCTTCTATGTGAACATGTTAAGAACTGGAACTAAAGATTAATATGGTAAGGAATAAAGAACCAAGAAACAGCATTATCTTCTATGTGTACATGTGAAGAAGTAATGAACACAAATTAAACATTATCTTCTAGGTATACATGTTAAATGATAAGGAACTAGAATCAAACATTAATAGTGATGTATACATGACAAGTATAATATCTACCAAGAGTACATGTGAAGAAGTAATGAATGAGTTGTAAACATTACCTTCTATTTGGACATATTAAGGAGTAATAAACCAGAATGAAGTATCAATGGCAATGTGTTACAATTGAAAGAGCAACTAACTTTAACTAAACACTACCATCTAAATTGTATGTGGACATGTTAAGGACTAAGAACTAGAACTAAAGATTAACATGGTAAGGAATAATGAACCAAGATAAGCATTAGTGATAAGATAAGTGATGAAGTAATGAACACAAATTAAACATTATCTTCTAGGTATACATGTTAAATGATAAGGAACTAGAATCAAACATTAATAGTGATGTATACATGGCAAGGTATAATATCTACCAAGAGTACATTAATTCCTATAAGTTACGTGTTGATGATGAATAAACTATATTTAAACAATAACTTCTATGCATTACTTGGTAAAGCAGAAAGGATGAGGCATAAAACAGCAGAAATGAATTGAAACCCGAAGTAAACATCAGATGTGGCACTAACAGGGTAGAAGAAAGAAAGCAATGGGTAGGAGGCATACATAAGGTAGAAAAAGTTGAGAGATATTCAGTAGGTAGAGATGTACTGGGTGGAAAAGTCACTCCATTTTGACCTCATCAACTTCAGCTTCAAAATGTGTGAAGGGAAATATGTGGCAGGGATGAAAGAAGAGGGTCCAGGAGGCAGCATGGACCCCACCACATGTTGGATGATGTTACATTACTCTTCTTCTCACTGTATATGTCAACCTGACCATCACCTTTCACAATACATGATGGCTGTCACAATCTCAACAGACAATGAACTTCATAAATTGGTGGTAACTGAGTGATACTTGTACTTATATCAGCAGAAAAGGAATTCACATTAATCTGTGAACTCGTACTGAAAGATTGAAAATACAAAGTAAAGTTGTTGAAGTATATACTTCAACAAGTCCCAACAAGTGGCTCTACTCACAACACCAATGTCATTTCATACAAACAAGTCCTTTTCAAATATTCATGGCTTCAATGCTTAGTATCATCAAATAACTTAAAAATATTAGTCTGAGAAAATATTTAAATCATTAATAAATGTGATTGTACTATAAGAGTGAGGGTGAAATTCCAGGATTCAGCCATACATAGTAACCCACAAGTTCAAGGTGGATGTTGTTGACCAGCTCTCCTTTATCAGTTTAAAATTAGGAACAGCTATGTGCACATAACATTTTGGTTAGCTCTGAATGGAAATTATAAATAAAAAAAAAACACTGATATGTCTTGACATAATTCCTACTGGCTTTTAGACAATCAATACAAATAAGTCTCAAAATGTATATTTAACATATCCATTGAGAAAAATTACCACATAGAATGGAATTATAGAAAAAAAAGAAACAATTACTTCATAAAAATTTAAATAGAAAAAAAATCCTACAATAAAACTATAGTGATACATTGATAATCTTTATTATAATAATTTAATCAAAGAAATAAAATCTAATATACCACTTGGTCTTAAATCAGAAATATATTTTCAAAAAGAAAGGTAAATGGCTTTTTTTTTGCTGTTTTTTTGTAATGCATGACCCTACATATTTAACACAAGATTGAAGGCTACAAAGGCTTGGCAGTAAGTTAAACCACCTTCACTGGTGAATTACCTATGGGATCTATATACATTGGCTTCATAAATTATTTTTTAACTACCTTCATGCTAAATTACTTGTGGATACATGACTTTGTTGGTTACATAGCCATACTATGCAAGTCATAAAAAACAATTAAACAAAAATACTATCAATATTTCAATTACTTTTGCTGACAACTGTTGGGGTTCCTTACACATTTTACAGAGAATATTAGTGATTTCTGGAGCTTGATGATTAGTGGAATTGGATAATGGATTAATGACAGGCTCATTAATCAGTTACATTCAACTAATCAATTATTCTCATCAGACTTGGATAGTTGCAATAACAAAAAAATAGTAATAATCAGAAACACCAATTTCTGTTAGTTTATCATTTTCATGACACTAATAGATTTAATCATAATTTTGATTAATCAGTTATTTAAGATGACATTAATCAACATAATCAACAATCATAGATCATCAACTAATAGAGTTACGCTTCCAGTTCTTGTGATTTCATTTTTTTTGGTCAATTTTTTACACTGGGAGTTCTAACAAGCAAAAACATGAAATTAATATGTTGCAATACATAGACTGCATCAATAGTAAGTGTTATAAAGTCAGAGGGTAATTTGATGATTAAGTAATTTCAAGTAATTTTTAACTAATACAATATATTTATGAATTTCAATTTTTTCTATATGAAGTTGACATTCAGAATGAAATAATAAAAACAGTTCACAGTTACAAATATAAAGCATATTAAAATATACAAACCATGCCTTAACATCTTTTAGAAAACAAATTGATCTCTAAATTACTTTTTGTTACTAATATAAAAATATACAAGTTCAGTTTGAAAAATACTTTACAAATTTAGGATTTTAATTTTACCACATTTCACAGTCTGTGTGAAATTATTACAGTCTATTTAGAATATTTGTTATAATAAACTGTTACCTGTGGATAATAATTTTTACAAGTATCTGCTTTACAAATGAGAAAAGCTCATAGATATACCTGAATGAAGAGTTAATTTTTATTTATTCAAGTATACACACCACATTGTGTTTGCAGAAAATTCTAGAATTTTTTCTGAAGTAAAAACTGAAACAAGATAAGATTTCAAACCCTCAGACTTCAATAACATTTGAGTGAAAAATAAGACATGAGTTTGAATCCCCTGCTATTTTAAATTTCACAGAAAAAAGTAATTTACAACATCAATAATTACTAACAGTTTATTGAATTAAAAGTATAAAATTACTTTGATATCTGATGGGTGGTCTTGCAAATTAATAGGTAATAAGAAACCCAATAAAAACGTGTAACAAAGAAACCAAAAACAAAATGTTTTAGAACCATATTGACTAAAACAACCCATAACTCAAGGAAAGCCTAACATGTTAATCATACATGTGGTAATGATCATTAGTTATTGTAACCTTAATTTAAGATAATGATCATTATATAGCGAGATCTTTAATTGTGGTAATAACTGTTATTTACTGAGACACTTACTTAACTCCAATAAACCTTTTAGTAAATAAGCATGTATATAAATATTGACTACAAGTCTTAAGTTGTAAATTGGTTTTATTGTACAAATCACCAGTCAGGCCTCATTTTGAATATTTTGTTCAGTTGTGGTCCCTTTATCTTATGAAGGTTATTGAGTCAGAAACATCACTTAGGTAAAGCAAATGTCCCAACCCCATGATTTATTATTATTTGTTTATTTTGGGAAATATACATATATATACATACACACACACAAATATATAAAGTGTGGTATGCAATAACAACCTTTTCTACTGACACATCAGACAAAATTAAGTTTAAAACATAAAAGATTAATCAAACAGCTAAAAAACCTGCCATATGTTATGACAGTCTAGCTTCTTCCTTAGTTTGAATGACATAGGAAATAATCAAAGCCAATGCTCCCAAAATAGACAGAACTTTTCCATTTTAACCCTTAAAAGCCCAAGTTTCCCCTGGATCTCTGTTAAATGTTTTCCCACCCCTAACTGATTTAAATATGATGCCCCTGCATCAAGTTATTGGAAAGGATTCAGAGCAGAGTTACAAGTATGATTTTGTAGGTGAATGGGTTAAGTTAAAACTTAACTTGTACACTTATTAAAGTTGAAGGGAGGTAATAAGATTGATGCATTAATTTTTTCATGTTGAATTCAAAGGGTAGTACACCAAGAAGCCATAAATATAAATTTAAGAAAGGTAACACATTTTCAGTTGATGTAGTTTTATTTCTGCAATCGGGAAGTAAATATATGGTAAAACAATTTGGCATTTACATTTACAGAGGCTGAAGCTATACAAGAGTTTAAGAAAAAGGCTGTGAATAATTGAGGGATCAGGGTTTGATATAGCAATTAGTTCTCTCCTTGTTAAGAGAGGTTGGGAGACAGGACATTCTTGAAGGGCCAAAATGTCCCTTAGTTTCCCAAAATTCATGTTTAATAGTGACTACATTATATCAAAAGTCTTCTGGACAATGTACATTAGCTAGTTATAAGAAAACAGAATTTAAAGTTCCATACATAAAATAAGTCATTAGTACATACTATGCTGATTTGGTTGCACCTCAGTTGAACTATTGTGTTCAGTTTCCTTATTTATGCATCAGGAAAGAGCTACGAGGATTATTCCAGTTTGGAGGAGGAGTTTATCATATAAGAATAGTTTGAAATCTCTTTACATGTTTTTATTGGAGAGAATAGGGGCTCAAATGACATTTTTTATAAATAAATTAAAAAGAACTGCAGGCAACATGCCTAGGGGACACAAGTTTAAAATACTCAAAACTCACATTCATCATCTTTTATTAGCAGTATTACTTTTATGATGAGGTGGTCAGCCTATTGAATAGTTTGCTGTCAGTTTCACATTTTTCAGAATATGGTAGAAGCTGAAACATAAAGAGTTTTGGAGGAGACTGTGTGAGTTGTTTTAGAGATCAGGGCTGGATATACAAAAAGGAGTTTCTGAATGAAGTTTGGAGTAGGGTGGAAGTAGAAAAATTCAATAGCATAGATAGGTCATATACTGATTAGACACATGTAACTAAAACAGTTAGGTTGCTTAGTTATGGCACTGCAGTGCAGTACGTGATTTAGTGATGACTTACTAAAGTAATAAAATATTATTAAGTGTTACTGTTAACCTTCTAAAATCGGAAGCAAAAAATCCACCAGCTGCTGGGTCGTTGGCATATTCAGGTTCAGCCGTTGTGGCAGGCATTTCATTCGCATAACTTCCTATTACTCCGTTATTTGCCATAGTTGTGGGTAATTCTCTGTTCAATAATATACAGCTTCACACAACCATTCTTTTCTATATCACATGCCACATCAGACATCTGCAGAGGGCGCTAAAGTAGCATTATTAAAAATCAAAAGAATTAATAGCATATTTTATTGTTTTTTGGTTTTACTCTTCTAATATTGCCTCCCCTGCATCCCCGTGGCTTAGTGACAAATCTGCATGAAGGCTTATAAAGCTAAAAATTGGGTTTTGATACCCACGGTTGGCAGAGCACAGATAGGCCATTATGTAGCTTTGCGCTTGACAAACACAAATCTTGGAATGTTACGGGAATATACCAAACCTTTGTTTTTTTAGATACTAAAAACGAGATAATTTTAAATTAATGAATAATTAAATTAAAATGGCTGTTTAGCTTACGTTGTCATCGGCAAGTATAATAAAAACAAAAATTCAAAAGCGATTTGAATGTAAACTGTATATCCTAGTAAGAACGTAGTAGAAATGTCAAATGTCAAAGCGAAATTTCTGTCATTATTATTACATCTAGATCCAAACCTAAGACTAAAAAGATGGAAATAACAGGTCTAACATTAATGTTAGATCTAGATGTACTAGCGACTTAATCCTAGGAACTGTAATCTAGCACCACTAATTAGATAGCCTATATTTAAGTTTTCTCATTCTATCAAAACCTTTAATATTAAATATAGCCTTTGAGCCTCTAGGCTTATATTATGTTATGATTACACCCTTCTCTACAGTGTGTGTAATTTTCATTCGAGCAATTTCAGACTTGTCTCCTGTAGTGTTCATGTAGTTAAACCTCTGACACATGGGGATTGACCATTGAAAGAAGTAAAATATGTCGTAAACGAATGCCAGGTGAAAATGCAGCTGATGCTGGAATGACTGTTGAACAGGAAATTTATTGCATCATGAAGGATGTTATTGATCACTTGATTACAGAAATAACAGGAAGATTTTCCTGCTTACTAGATTTAGATTCATGGTTTGGATTTCTACTAGATGTGTAAAATATTGTTTCCGGAGATTTCGAAGACGGAAAATTGCAAGAAAAATGTTCTGACTGAGCAAAGAGCTATCCAGGTGATATTGTTGG